CCCCCCCCCCCCCCCCCCCCCCCCCCCCCCCCCCCGGGGGCGTATAGTATATTTTAGGGCCATGAAACAGTGTTTTCCTTTTTTTCCCTTTTCTTTAATTTTGCTGTTGTTGTTGATGAGTTTTTCCTTTAGAGAAAACAAATATGAAAGAGATAAAACTTGTCGGGGAAAAAGTTTTGTTTTAATTTCATCAACCTCTGAATCTCTCAAAAGTCGAACCTGAAAAAAAAATTGTATTAAAAGTACGAAAACTAAAATAAACTAAAAAATAATAATAGCAAAATTATCGGTGTTAAATACATGTACTTTGATGTGATTAATACACGATTTAAAAACAGCTAGGCCAGCCTCAAAAAGACTTCACAATTTGGTTGCTTAAAGTTTTTAGTTAGGGCTTCGTTGTCTTCTACTTCGAAAAACGTTTCCAGCCGATTCGTGCACATTAATATAACAATTCTTGTATCTGACGTTCAAGTGTATTACGCTATATTTCTACAGGTTTTAATTTACCACGAAAATATATATAGTTTATATAAAAGGTTACTTTTTCAATGAACTACTTCGATGATATGGCGACCATTTTGTCAGGGGACAGAACAAAAATGGCGGAAAATATATAAAGTTTCGTGTGTCTTTCATTTAAGGGTAAAGGTGGTCGATGTGCTGTCTTAATTCATATTTTGTTGTATTTTATTGTGGCAAGTATTTTCTTGTTAATATCAATCGACGTCATTACTGTAACAAAGCTTTATTTGCTTTGCCCCCTGGACGCCCCATGATGCCTTGCGATCAAAGATGGCGGCCGAATCGCCGAAGTAGTTCAGTTTACTTTCAATATTGAGGTTTTTCACTGTAACGCCACGTTGTCAATTTTTTTCTTTCTTTCATTTATTTATTTTTTGTTTTATCAGAAAAAAGAGTTTGCAGTCAAATTGTTCATATAGATATTAGTACAATTGTAAAGTTTCGTAAAGATTGTCAACAACTCACAAAAATGTTTGAATTTTTGAATCTTACAACTTTTACAAAGAAATGTATGTGGTGAGAAATTTTCTTTGTAAAATAAGTGCTTATGAGTCTTTGCACAATATTCTCAGAAATGATTCTTTAGATAGTGCATAGTTGATTGTGAAAATATTTCGTCATTTGAATGTCGGGTCTTTAGGATACGAAGGTTTATATTCCCAATATGTTAATGACTATGACGTAACAGATGGGATTATTTAATATACAACACTGCACTCGTTCTGAAATATAATATTTAAAAAATATCACCCTTTTACTCTTAACTCGTGACTCACGTAAAGGTTCTTACAAATTTGTTTTCAAAAAATGTCCAGCGTTCAATATTAAAAGTTGCCACAAAATAACTCAAATCCCTTATGTTACGTCATAGTCATCTGAACATATTGGAAATATAAACCTTCGTATCTCAAAGACCCGACATTCAAATGACGAATTATTTTCACAATCAACTATTCACTATTTAAAGAATCAATTCTGAAAATATTGTGTAAAGGCTTATAAGCACTTTAATGTTTTTAATAAGTCATATCTTCAATAGCTTACGTGCTATCTTCACGGAACTACAACGTTTTACTAATATATGTACTGACAACTTTAAATGTCAACTCATTTTGCGGATTAAAAAAGTTTTTTCTAAAGCGTGACATCACATGAAAAACCTCTTTCTATGTTTTTTTGCAACCGTAACTTCCGTACAGGGATCTTCCGTGAGGTTCGCTCCACCATATAACACATTCACTATTTACAACATACAACACTTAGATCTAATTGTGATTTCTACGGAGGGAGGAAAACTGCATGTAGAACCCGAAGAAAACCCCTCTTGCAACACATGCGATTTAGTCAAGAATCAAAATGAACTTCAACTACACAGCAGTCAGAGACAGCACCGTATGCGCATGAAACCCATGCGATCCTTTTACGATAAAAAGGACCAAATACTTGGGAACCAATATCTATGGTATGCGTGGCAACATATATATAGTGGCTCTCAGTTATATTTTGCTACCGTATGGCAGAAACTTCTCTTAATCTAGGAAACTCTGTCAGCAGGAGAATATTTTTGTCATTCAATAAGACATTCAATAATTACTGTTCGTGGTTGCAGTTGTTGCTTCTAAGAGTTGTCTTCTTGCGGGTGTTCGTCTGTCTAGGTTTTCTTCTGTTTCTTTCGTTTAATGTCATTGAGTGTTTCTTCGATGGAGCGAAGGTCTCGCTTGTTCTCGCTTGGGACTGGGCAACGAAAGAGGCAATATTATATGAGGTATAATATAATGTATCAGCAGCAGCAGCAGTAACAGCAGCACAGCAATTGTAGCAGCAGTAAGAACAACAACAACAGCGACAGCAAGAACAACAACATGTTCAACAACAACAGCAACAATAACTCAGCAGTAGCAACAGCAATAGCAGCAACGCATCCTGACTTGCATTTACATAATCGATCAGCCCAGAGGTTGTTTCAGGGTTCTATCTGTGAGTTAGCCGTGCCCTGACTTAGATCAGCCCAGAGGTAGTTTCAGGGTTCTATCTGTGAGTTAGCCGTGTCCTGATTTAGATCAGCCCAGAGGTTGTTACAGGGTTCAATCTGTGAGTTAGCCGTGCCCTGATTTAAATCAGCCCAGAGGTAGTTTCAGGGTTTGGTCTGTGAGTTAGCCATGCCCTGACTTAGATCAGCCCAGAGGTGGTTTCAGGGTTTGGTCTGCGAGTTAGCCATGCCCTGACTTAGATCAGCCCAGAGGTTGTTTCAGGGTCCAATCTGTGAGTTAGCCGTGCCCTGACTTAGATCAGCCCAGAGGTTGTTACAGGGTTCAAACTGTGAGTTAGTCATGACCTGACTTAGATCAGCCCAGATAAGAGGTTGTTTCAGGGTTTAATCTGTGAGTTAGCCATGCCCTGACTTAGATCAGCCCAGAGGTTGTTTCAGGGTTTGATCTGCGAGTTAACCATGCCCTGACTTTGATCATCCTAGAGGTTGTTTCAGGGTTCGATCAACTAATTTCTTAATAAAATTTTGAACTCACCAACTCCATACGAGATATTACTTTTCGTAGCCTTAGCTGCCGCTTTGCCACTCTCTGAACCAAGCAAGTGTTTGTACTTATCCTTGTAGAACGTGGCTGGTGTTGAATCTTGTTTTAAGGGATTCATCCCTGGCCAATATTTAGCACCAGCACTATCTTCTTTAATAGTCTCTTCTGATGACCCAGATGCTGTTGTCTGTAAATAAGATTACATATATAAATTTAGGCACTGCCTAAAAGCGGAGCTCCTGATACGCAAGTCAAAGGGAGCCCAATTTAGAGAAAACTGAAAGGTGAAAATAAAATAGGGGGGGAAAATCTTCAATAAGTATATGTAATAGGACTCCATTTGGAGGAGGAAAATTCTGAGGACTGACAAAATTTGGCAGTCGGAGGGATTTTTCAAGTCTAATTATTTCTTGATTGAGGAGCATGAAATCCCATTAGCTATTAATTATATAGCTGCCTAATTAATCCCATATCAACAAGACCTATCCAATTAAGAAAATAATTGGACAGTTACATTTAGCATATACCAACTTGTGTACTTCCTAAGAACGCACACGCTCATTGGTTAATTGGAGGTGAATATTGTATGATATTCACCTCTGAATCTCGGAATATTGAGTCGGCATCAATGCCATTCCCATCAATACTAAAAAGGCAACGAAGTATGGCCTAAAAATTTTGCTAAACGTTTTCTGTGAATTTGTCATGCAAACTAAAAGTTTCTGTTTGTTAGTTTTTATTGAATTATTGCATATAAAATAAGTTACTCTGTACACAAGTTGGTATATGCTAAAACAATTATTCGCCTCAGGCTCAGTGAATATCGAGGAATATTTACCTCGCCACTCAAAGACTCGCGTCTTGGTAAATATTCCCCGATATTCACTTCGAATAATTGCTAAATATGGGATTAATGAGAAGCTGTATAAGTATTATCTTTATTCGAGAGGAGGATAATGTAATACTCTGTAGGTCTAATAATTACCAAAGATAAAGTCAAAATTTATTGTACATTTGAAAGTTACTCACTTCAAGAGTGGTGTCGGCATTCTTTGTCTTGCTTGGTGCTTCAGGGTCGTATTCCTATAAGACATGAAATTATGTTTATTATCTCCTCTTTCTCATTCAGTAAACACTGCCGTAACCCTTGATTACAGACCCATTTGTAAAGGTTCAGCCTCATTGCAAATCACTCAGACAAGCAAACGGTAAAGTAAAGCTGTGCCTATTCTCTACTTTCACATCTCCATAATGCCTTGCATCTTTGGGGGGTAACCAATCAAAAAACTGTCCCAAATTGAAAGATTTCTTAATTGAATTCATACTATATCATTCTGCTTTCATCTGTACAATATTGATTATCAGTTTATTCCAAGTGGTTTTTGCGTCTACAGATCATCAAGAGTTTTGGTCTTACAGAAAATGTATTGACTTACGAAAATTTTTTTAAAATTTACATTAAATGTCTTCAAGCTTTTATCTTTTTCTGTTTTTTACTTCTTCTTTTATTTTTGGATACCAAACAAGGTATTTTCAACATTGTCTGATCAGCCTTCAGCAAAATAAATGGGTTTTCACCCTCTGGTTACCCCCCAAAGACACAAAGTATTATGGGGAAGTGAAAGTAGTGAGAATACACTAGAAATTTTTTGCTTGATTTAATAATCAATTAAAATTAATAATAAAACACATCAAGAGTACAAAGAAAGTGCAGAATGACCATACAAGTGACAAAGTCTGCGACGTTTTTAATTTTTTCAAAAATTTTCCTAGTGTGATTTTTTTAGCTGTTGCATTACTTGCACGAGGTACATGAGTACACCTGAAAATTTTAATGTGCATTGGTGATTTCAAAAAAATGCATTGCTGCCTGTGCAAGCAAAAAATCATTCAATCATGTAAGCTGCAAGGAAAGAAGGCCAGAAGAAGAAAAAAAAAACGACAAGAACGGCACACTAATGGCCTTTTACAAGGTTAAACCTGTATAAACGAGTCAGTTGTCATCAAAAACAGTGAACATTCAATGAGGAAGAGTACTAAAAGTCTTCCTTGCCTCAAATAAATATAAAATAAAAGTGACAATATTATTACCAGCCTATTTCTGTATGCATCTAATTCTTCATCGGATGGTGGAAATTCCTAAGTAAAGACACAAACAAAATGATCAATGAGCAAGCAAATAGTGGATGGGTATGTTACAAGATGGTGGGATGATCGATGGGTGATGGATAGAAGGAAGGAAGGAAGGAAGGTCGGAAGGAAGCAAGCAAGCAAGCAAGCAAGGAAGGAAGGAAGGAGCGCACAAACGAACAAACGAACGCACAAACGAACGATCGAACACACAAACAAACAAACGAAGGAAGTGAAGTAAGGAAGGAAGAGGGATAGGTGGTTGAATCAGTGGATGGATATCTGACTGAAACATCCTGGGAGTAGGGGTAATTAAGAGAAAGGGAAATTTACATTCAATAATTAACCATACCTAGGACATCCATATCCATAAGATTTTTTCTTGTATGACATAACACATTTCATTCTACACAGGGGAGCATTGTGTTTAAGTTAATTAATTTAATTGTATTATTGTAAAGGCTTCTTCAAACTAAATTGAACTATACATCTTACCGCTTAGGCTGAGGGCTCAGTAACATTTATCAATGTTAAATAATTTGTGGTTGCAATACTGGCAGTAACCTTTAAGGTAATTAATGCAGTCAAATGAAGTTCTAAGGAGTATACCTTTTTGAAAAGCATGACATATCTATCTACTTCATCTTCTCCAAATGAAAAAGTTGTTAAGCCAGCAACTTCTGCTACATCATGTCTGCAAGAAAATGAAAAGTCGTAGATGTAAGCTAAGGACAGGAACGAGGGTCTGAAGGAAATAAGGGGATTGGCATGTGTTTAGGGGGAGGGGGAGGGGGGAGTGGATGGAGGAGAAAATGTTTTTGATGCCAAACAATTCGAGACCCCTACCTAATAGCATTTCGGGTACCCCCTTTGATCATTTAAAAAATCATCCCAATCCTCCTTTTGACCTTTCAAGAAGGCCCACCATGTTCCACAAAAAAAAATTTGAGGGCCCCCCATTTTCTCCTCCCCCGCCCCCTCCGAATTAATTAATGACTGGTCCTTTAGGTCTCTTCCTTGAGGGTTGATGGATTTGAGGGTTTTTTCCAGCTTCTCCAATTGTCCTCCCTCTGCAAAATTAAATTCTCTAAATTCCATTCAATTTATACAAATTGGCCACGGGTGATCCCGCGCACGCACTTCTGGTAACTATTAACCAATCAGTTCTAAGCATTTTTGTTGCATCGCCAAAAGTTCCATGATGAATTTCAAAATGGAGTTGTATTTCAAGTTAACCTTTTAAAAATACGTCCTCAAATATGACTTTACATTGAAAATTTCTGTTACATGTACCAGAAAGGCTTCCTCTTGCTCTATCATTAGTTAAAATTGATAAAAACAAAGCATAAACGCAATAAAAGTAAGCAAAATTGGCATATTGTCTTAATTAGTCACCAACAGCCATTTTGATTACAGTGAGATATTTGAACTAGGAGACTGGGAATTAGGAAACGTTTGATTTGACAAATACACTACATAATCCTTTGCGCACTTCGAGGCCAGATCACCTGGCATGCCCTGACTTTGATCAGCCAGAGGTTATTTCAGGGTACTATTCATACAATTTGAAGTCTACTTATTGAAGTTCTAAAGCAAGTTTCATCACAGGTAGCCCGAGCTTGGTTTCTGTGGTGTTATGTTTTAACCAAACGTAAGGGGATTCTTCAAAAATTTCAATCGAGAAGTGCTATTTCTCAATAATCAGGTAAAATTTCGAGGCTTTATTTCAAGTTTCAATGATTTTATTGAAATTTTTGAAGAATCCCCCTACATTTCCTCATAACATGACACCACAGAAACCAAGCTTGGGCTACCTGTGGTTTCATATCTGTCTGCAGTTTTTCACTTACATTATGCTTCTCTGTATCTTATTCATTGGTGGATATTTGTGTCTCTTTCTTTTAGGGTCTTCAATTAATTCATTTATTTCTTTTTCAACCTAAAAAATGAACAAAATATTTAGTTTAATTCTAAAGGTTAAACTCTCAAACCTGACACATAGAATTGCAATATTGTGAAGCCATTTTCAATACTCTTTCCTTGCATTTCTTTGTAGAACTAGCCATGATATGCACAATAGACCTAATCCACTGTTTTCCCATTTCAGATCATGTGTCATTCCCTTGAGTATCATTTCTTTGTTTAATGGTTGTGCATGGGCAATAAGAGCTGAAAGTGGATTTGGTCCATTGCAAAATTTAATGTCATTTACAGTGTGCTCTGATCAAGTTATTCATAAAATATGACTGTACCTTTGCACGAAATTCTGCTACTTTCTTGCGCTCGTCCTTTTGAAGTTTTAACATTTTGTGCTTTTTATCTGTATAAAATATAAGTATAAATATAAATAATATTTACTATGCTACCTTTCCCTGGGAGGGAGGGGGGTATACCTTCATAAAGTTTATAGACCTATTTGTCAAAATTTATTATGGCATTGGCTTAAAATAACAACTAGACAATGGACAATGTCTGGCAAAAACTGGGACTTGTCCAGTCAAATCTTTGCCTTGCCGGTCATTTTGACCAGTAACATTGAGCCAGAAATGAAGTATGACTAAGCTAAAACTAATTTGGTCTGTGATTATGATTGGCGACTGATTATTTGGCCATTACCGTATTTTAAGCCCTGATGGCCAAAAAGATCAAATTCTGAAACAACCTCTGGGCTGATCTATAAGTGTTAGCATTACTAACTCACAGACCCAACCCTGAAACATCTTCTGGGCTGATCAAAGTCAGGGAATGGCTTACTCACAGATCAAACCCTGAAACAACCTCTGGGCCGATCTAAGTCAGGGCATGGCTTACTCACAGATCAAACCCTGAAACAACCTCTGGGCTGATCTACAAAAGTGCAGAGGACATCACTGAATCACAGATTAAATCTTGAAACAACTTCTGCATTAAAGTCAGGGCACAGCTGACTTACATGTATAAATCAAATTTTAATTCAGCTTGTTCAGCCAGTGTAAGAATTGCATATTCAAAATAACATAAGCTTACTGTACATTACAGATTATCATGAGCAAATGATTCAGAGTAAAAAGTTAGAACAATCACTGTGTGAAAAGCTCGCATTTTCAGAGTTATACTAAAGCTAGGGTTGCAAAATGTAGCAATGCGTTGATGTTCTTTTAAGAAAACTGAAGATATAAGACTCTATTAAATATAGGGATAAAAGCTTTGAACTCGTGATTAAAAAATCTAGTTTTTTTTTAAAAGACTTCTTGCAAACCAATGCTTCTCTCTACAGACATTATCAAATGTTATATCTAAGGTCATTTCGTTATGATTTCAATGCATATCTTTAGAATTCGAAGGGTTTTTGTTCATCGCTATAACATTCTTACTTCTATTCATAATTTACGTTTTCGAATTATCACRAAAACACGTTCCTTCAAATGAATTCGAATTTTCTCACCTCTCGCCTCCTTATTTTCAGTAACTGGAGGTGCATCCATGCTATTTAGAATAGAACCAAGCAGATCCATGGCTTTTTGTTTAAATTGGTGTGAATTTGAAGGAACCAGGGCCAATTTTTATTTTTCTGTCAGCGTTGTTGTGTTTTGAAGAAAGTTTTGTCGGCCATCTTGGATTCCTTGAATGCTAGTGCCCAGGTATCGCTGGCATGGACGACTGCGTGGAAGATTCTAGATCCAGTACTAGCGGAAAAGGCCAAGAAGGGAGGAATGAGAGAGAAAGAGAAAAAGAAAGAAAATTATAACTCCTTTCTTCTCTTGCAATTTCAAGACATACATGAATTGCGCGTATGTGGTGCAAGGGAAGTTTCACGAGGAGACTAGTTCGGCGGCATTGCATTAACCAATTATTTAGTGTCTACATCTCACAAGGCATTAACTTTAGTTTGCGCATGTCCATATATTTAATTGTTTTGACGAGTCTCGCGATGATAATTGTCTTTCAAAACATGTACACTTATACCCCTTTGATAAAATATGTTTAGACCAACCTTTACACTGCCATACTGCGCGCGCTTCAGCACTACGCTTAGTCTGAGAGACCATGAAGGACAGGCCCTTGCACAACCTTGTAACTTTTCAGTTTTGCAGCGGTTACAAGCCATATAAATTCGCGCTGCGTCTTTGCATGATAAAACACGATGGCAGTTATGATACACACGAACAATCCACGAACAAGAGAAGAAAGCTTATATTTGTACTAAACACTACCCTAATTTATTTTCGCCATAATGAAAATCATTATGTGCTCTGTGTCATTGATAAAAGAAACGTTTTGGCTTACGGCCTTGAGATGAGATTCAGAAGTTGTTGGCTTCAAGAGAAGACTCGGGGCTCACTTCGAAACACGACGGCCATGTTATGACTGCGCATGCGTTATACATTCCCCTTCACAACGTACAACACATCGTTCTTTGTTCGAACTGTTTTACAATAAGTTAATCCTTCTGAACCATCATTTGAAGCCGTTCCCACAGTTTCTGAATCGAAATCATGCAGTCTCATTTCGGCCAAAGCTTTACGAATATCTCTCTCGAGTTTTGAACATGATGGCTGTCTTAAATGTTTTTTGTCCGTCTTTTCCGTAACATCTTTCTTGTCCTCTCTCGTTTTCCCTGATTTAATTGTAGCATTTTGGCCGAAGATAGACGAACTCTCAATAGATCCTGTCTTTTCTGCTATACTGTACTGCTTTGGTTGTCCAAGTTCACTCAATTTTCCTCTCTGCTTTGTTCTGGCACCCATAACTCCCTTGTAGGCTTCTTCGTCCGCGACTAAAGTCTGTTTTTCGACTACCGGTAGCAAAGAAATACTTTGCTTATTATCAGTTCTTTCGTCCTTGCTGGTTCTTCTTTTCATAGTATCTCTAATGCTGGATATGTTTAGGAAAATTTCTCCGTAAGCTTCGCGTATGACGTATTCAAAATTCGATTCTTCGTTGTCTTGATCAATTGAAGACTCTTTCTTTCCCTTTGACATTATCAACAGTTTCGCAACCGTGACCACCCTTAGCTCCTAGATATGATATTCGAAGCCATAACCATTTAAATCAAGTACATTGCGGTATTACTTACATGGTTAACATGGATGTGAGATAAAATAACTTTAATAAAGTTTAATTTAACAAATTAAATATGCGAGTTCTAGCTTAATCATTGTGTCGGCTTTGATTGATCTATTATTTATTGTTGTTTATATTATTTTTGAACTCTTTATCTGCAATTCTCTTGGGATTTCTTGGGGCTTATTTAGATTTTTAGTACGCGTCTTAGTAAACGTCAAACAAATGGGCATGAAAAAAAAACAACAAAAAAACACAGGAAGCCTAAAGTAAAGTAAGGCCATTGGAAAAAAATTTAGRATCAACTGTCCTTTTTTTCCCCTTGAATATCATGCAAATGCACATTAATGTCGAAACCTACCTAAACCGTTAGAAAGTGTTCATATCTCGTCCCGGAAGAGGGCGAAGCCATTCTCGGGAGCCCAGGGGGTAAAATTGTGTCGCTCGCTTCTCGCTCTCCGATGTCGGTATCCCCCCCACCCCCCTACCCTACCCTTACACATTCCATCACTATTACTACCAAGAAAAATATCCCCCTCTCCGGTCTCCGGGGAAAAAATGAACGGTCTCTGGCTGATACTAACGACATAGCGTTAAAATACCTAAAGCTTAGAACTGTATATAAATAAGCTCACTATCGAAACCAAAAGATTATGAATCAAGACTTCCTCTTTGTAACCGCATGTCAGCCAGACAAGCTATCTGTTCATTCTCGTACAGAAGAAACGATCATTTAAACTTGGTCACAGTGACGAGTGAAAAGATAATGAATAGGTGTGGATAAACTCGACATTTCTACGTTCTTCATTAGCCGCTTAATCTCATTCCGCTAAAACTGAAGCTGAGTGGGACTCAATCGTGATTACAATCCGAGCCGAGTCAAAATCATGGGAGGCGCTGTCGCGAAGGATTTAGGCGAAGTTAATGTGAGTAACTCTGAATTTCTCATTTAAAAACTAATATTCGATAACATATTAAAACAAGCAAAAAATTATATTTAATGCTCTCAATGAAGGTTAAAGAAATGGCAAGTCGATCAGGGCCGAAATCGATCGAAAATGTTCTTACCACAGGGAGCCCACCATTAGGTTTCGCAGCCCAAACTGTCAGGTTATACTGAAGTCTAAAGGTTTACTCCCAATACTTTACAGTAAATAATCATTTCGTTTTCTAATTACTATATTTATACGGTTTTTTGCTTGCTTTCAGCATTTTGACAGCTTCAAAAGACCTTGTGCGTGTCTAGACTGAAAAATGCACGACTACTGAAAGCTTAATTTGTTGAACGAAATGCAATCCATTTGGTCATAAATTACTTATTTTTTAAAAGAAAGAAATGAAAGAATAAAAAAAAAAAAAGATAGAATGATAGGTCGAAACAGGCGTTTCCTTCAAAAGTTGCTCAAGGAAGCTTATTTAGCATTACTACCATATATGGTAAAGGTGTCCTCTGATTGGCTGTATTTTGAATCGTGGTTTATTGGGAGGGCGGCCATCTTGGAAGTCAGTGGCGTTTCCGGCTGCTTTAAACCTCATTTTTTTCGTCCAAATTTAGGGATTTTTAGCCTTGTGTACCTCGAACTTTATTGTTTAGTTGTTGAATAACAAACCAGTCATGGTAAGAATTGAGTTTATTTAGGTTTTCAGCGTGGGAAAGGAGCAGTTCTTGAGGTGTTTGGTGGAAATGCTTGAGTTCTTCACCCGGAAAGCATTTAATTTAGTCACCTTCAACTTACATTTTTCAATCCTTTTTTACTTTTACCATAATTTGAGTTTCCTACATCTGAAATGATTGTTTCTCAGTTCCGCTTACCTAATTTTTAGCTGTAAAACTGCTACTAACCGATTTTATGGCAGTTATCCAAAATCACACCTCGTTGATCTTCAGATCTTAAAAGTGAAAATTTGGATATTTCTGAGATTTCAAATTGGCATTGCGATCAAGAAAATTCTGCCATCCATTAAACTTTTGTAGGTCCTTCCCTACCAAGAACAACAATAATAATATCTTTATCTTCTTGATTTACAGACAGATCGCCAGTTGGACTGCGCATTGGATTTAATGCGACGTCTCCCTCCTCAACAGATCGAAAAAAACCTTAGTGATTTGATCGATTTGGTATGTTTTTCTTGCTTGTAATAAAATATATTTGTAGTTCTCATATTGGATTATTTTAGTAATCTAAACAATGTTGTTTATTGTTTTTATTTTTATAGTTTTTGATACGATTAAGGAATTTGAAAGTTTGAAATTCTCATTCAGCATTCACACTGTATGTGACTGTCAAATTTTTCTGAATATCTCGATTACAGATCTATATTATTATTCATAAATTTGTTTAAAATTCCTAAACATTCTAAATACTCAGGCTTGTGGTTGCAAGATTAATTGATTAAGGCTTATATATATACAGTATAAATAGAAGTAGAATAGAAATAGAATGAATAAAAATGTAATTCTCGTAAAAAGGAGGGGGGCTAAAGCCCCCCCCCCCCCTAACGCCTCCACCGTCCCTGTATTCTAGTTGGATCCTCTACCATTGACATGTACAGAATACTCTTAGTGGGCTAATAGCCAATACTGGGTTGTCTAGATCTAGTTACAATGGCATGCAAATAGACTCTTCCACAGTCTCTCGCTCGTCTGTTCCATCTCCACGCTTAGAGACTGTAACGGTACAATGACCAAAAGGACTTATGGGTCCCGAAAACTTGGACCCAGCGTGCTTTGGGAACCAAAGTATCTTGTCCACAGTCTCTCTCGTTTCAATATTTTCAAGATGCCGGTGAAAACGAGTGACTGTGGGCGAGTATTTTAGTTCCCAAAGCACGCCGGGTCCAAGTTTTCGGGACCCATAAGTCCTTTCGGTCATTGTACCGTTAAAGTCTCTAAGCATGGAGATGGAACGGACGAGCAGAGACTGTCAGTTTTTCTTGATGCAAAAATATCAACCCACTTTTCGGGGTTACTAAAGTTGCAAGGCCCCACATTTTCTGCTCCCACCCCCTCCCCCCCCCCAAAAATGAACAGCCCATTAGGTAGGGAAACTATTGGACCCACTGTCCTGTTGGTCAGTCCTATGGTAGAACCAGTGTGGCAGAGTGAAGGTGTTTTTTTGATTATTTAAAGTATTTATGATACGATGTATTGTAGGTTTATGTTTTCGTTCATTCGTGTTTATGCTCACTTGATTGTGAAATATTAATAAAATGAAATGTTGGTGACTTGTGATAGGACCAAGAGTTTGTTGCTCAGCTCATAATCATAGAAAATTAAAGTACAAAATACTTTGGTACCAGCAAAATACCAGTGATAAAAATAATGGCTAGTCAATAAACAATGTCTAGCCAAAATTGGCAGTTGTCTATAGTTATATGCCTTTTAGGCTGGTACTCATGTGACTGGTCACATTGACTGGTCACATCTGATCAGTACGTCCTACATGTATGTCACAAGTCATCATGTCCAGCCTTTGAGCAGCCATGGTTTTTAGCCTTGAAATACTAAAATGATATTGCTACCTTTCCTCTTATTGGGAAGCACCGGTGGCGTGCGTTGCTAATGCGCTGCCTCTCACCAATGCGGCCCGAGTTCGAGTCCTGCCGATCTCAATGTCGTATGTGAGTACAGTTGTTGATTGATTCTCTCCTGTGCTTCAAGGGTTTTTCTCTGGGTTCTCTGCTTTTCCACCCTCCTAAAAAATCCACTTCTAAATTCTAATTCGATCTCTGGGCTTTCACCTAGTTTGGAGCCTAGCTCTGTGGTGATTGTCCCACGCTGTGATACAACAGTGAAAGCTTTGTAGATTTTTTTCTTATTGCATCCATTAAAAAAATCTGTTATTATTTTCTCCAGTTGTAAGACTTTTTGTTAATTTATTTATCTATAATAATTACAGTATGTTTTGTATTCTTAGGCACCGGATCTGTGTGAGGATCTTCTCTCATCAGTTGATCAACCATTAAAGATTGCAAAAGACAAAGAAACTGGTAAAGACTATTTACTGTGTGACTACAACAGAGATGGAGACTCGTACAGGTACAAATTATATATTTTTGTCATCCAGTGCTTAAAATAGCAGTCAGTAAGTTGCCGGTCATCATGACTGGCCAAACTAGTTTTAACAAACCAAATCAAGACAAAAGAAAACAAAAACAAAAAAAAAGAAAGGAAAATTAGCTTCTCAATAACTCATTTTCTTTTTTAAACGTAAATATATATGTGAGGGACCACGGTAATTGGCACATACTGTAGTGGATTCCCAGCCATTGTGTGTGTAAATATTATATATAACGTATTTGTGTGTTGTGTGTATGCGTGGGTGTTTAAATGGCAAAGCTAAATAAATAAATAAACTCAGTTATACCTTAGTTTTGGCTCAAAGATAACTACTGGTCAAAATGACTGAAATTATGACAAGATAAGGATTTAACGCGACAAGTTTCAATTATTCTGGGAGGACAAATCCAATGACAGGCTGTTAATTGAAGCCCTGGACATCTCTTCAACTTTCATATTTTTTTGGTTTTTGATTTCTGTCAACCCAAAAAAAATACTAATTTTTATTATATAATTACCAATGAAATATCTATTTTTCTCTATTTCGAAAAATTGATATCTTCACACGTGAAAATAACACCATTGCGATGGTTATTCAAAAATACACAGAAAGAATTGCCTGAAAAAGCCAAAACATACTTCATTGATAATTATATAATAAACAGAATATTACATGGCTGCTTGGAGATACGAAATTTATCTTCTCGTGTTGAAAATCTCTCACTCGTTCGCTGCGCTCACTTGTGAGAGATCTTTTCAACACTTGAAGATAAATTTCGTATCTCCGCGCGCCCATGTAATATCCTCTATTTATCCATTTATTTATTTTATTTTAAATATTTTTATTTATTTCTTCGTACATTTATTTTGATGGTTGTAATTTCATTCAATCACTTGTTTATTCTTTATCTCTGAATCACCAACTCATTCCTTTATGAATGTATTATTCACACAGATCACCATGGAGTAACACATACGAACCCCCTCTTGATGATGGTGCCCTACCATCTGACAGACTTCGCAAGCTAGAGGTTGATGCTAACTCAGCATTTGATCAATATAGAGAAATGTAGGTATCTGATAGATATAACAGTATATATTTCCCTTGCCACTAAAGTCTCCATAAACCTTGGAGTCTTTTTTTTTTTTTWAATGTGAAGTCGATGCCAATTTTTATACATTGTTGCTTTATGCTTTGTGGAAAATTGCTGGCCAGAAACGTTGATAATCAAATAGAAATTGAAACCACAATGAACCATTTGATAAATAGCTAGTCGTTACGAGTAAAGGTAGAATTTTAAATGTGTTGCTTGTCCATAAAGAAGATAGGAAAGCCAAGATTCAGCTAGATTTCTTTTCTCTGACTGCAGCCTACATGTTTTTTGTTTGTTTGTTGGTTTTTTTATTTTTTATTTTCCAGTACATCATATGATAATTACATTCCTTATGGCTGCCTTATCAGATTGGCCAATTCTTTCGATGGGCCGTCAAAACAAGAATATCTGAAATCAATTTTGGACTCTAGGCTGGAGTTGAGACTACTCCCTCTAATAGTTTTTTGGAGTGCGAGATTATTTTTTGGCGTAAAATATGCCAAATTTGGTGTATTTGTAATCCCTGGTTTACATTCTAATTTTTTTTTTGGTTGAGAACCTAATTACTGTATACTTTAGCTGATCATTAGTAAATACCAATAGAATGATATGGAATGCAATATAAATAGTGTAAATGTTTTTGTAAATCCCATAGGATTTTTCCAAATTATGATGTGCATAATTTACTGTCGGCACTTGAGGCTAGTTCTATGTATATCTGTATGAATTAGGAAAATGGCTTTGTAGGTAACCTTAGTATGCAAAAATCGTTTTAATGGTTTTTTCTCTTGATTGAGCTATCTTCTTTGCTGAGACCTCGGAAGATTTAGTTAACTTCGTCATGATTGTGATTATGAGGCCAAATTTCTTTTCAAAACATTTTCTTGCACTAAAAGTGACTCAATCACACACTATCAGATGCTCTGTATATCTGTATAATTTAATAGGATGATGGCCTTGTAGGAAGACTTTATTGCCAGTTTACCTTGAACTAAGTATGCAATAATTGGTTTATTTTTTCATGCTCAATCATATGCTCCGTTTATCTGCACAACTGAGAAAAATAGCCTTGTAGGAAGACTATTTCCAGCTTAGCTATAGCTTGACCTAAGTATACAGCAATAATTATTATTCATTTGCTGATGTTGGTAATTTGTTTCATTGTTAAGGTATTTTGAAGGTGGTGTCTCATCTGTTTATCTATGGGATCTAGATCATGGTTTTGCCGGTGTTATCCTTATTAAGAAAGGTATGTAATAATGATGTATGATAAACTACTCCATTACTCTACACCACCACGGTACATTATACTCTATACTACACTACACTACACTACCACACACTACCCTACACCACACTATGTTACACCACACTGCGCTACACCACACTACACTACACCACCACACACTACACTGCACCACCACACACTACTCTACACCACCACACACTACACTACACTACCACACACTACTCTACAGCACACTACACCACACTACGCTGTTCACCACACTGCACTACACCACACTGCATTACGCCACACTACACTACACTACACTATGCTACAATCTACTCCACTCCACTCCACTCCACTCCACTCCACTCCACTCCACTCC